GAAAAGTCATAGGCAGTTGTGGATGATGACAGGAATTGACAAAATATTGTCATTGTCATTATCATCATCATTTACATTTATAACCCTCACCTTTTCCACTATAGTGTTCCAGGTGGCTTAAAATCATAAAGCATAATTTAAAACACAATGAAAACAAGTTCAGCCACAAAAATCACTATTTATCAAATTAACACTGTAAAAAAGACAGAATCAATAAAGCTATAAACAGCAAATGTTCTCTCAATAAATTAAACACTATCAAAGGTCAATGTTAAAAGATGTATATCCACATCTTTCTACAAGCAGGAAGAATGGAAGGTGTTTGCAGCTTTGAGGGAAGTGCCTTCCACGCTCTTGAGGCCATGCAGGAAAAAGGTCTCTCACATGTGCCTCTTGATTGTGGCTGCTCTCTGCAACAGCTGGCCTTTTTAAGAGGGTTTTTTCCTTAAGATCTTAACATCTGGACAGGTTTGTAATAAGATGGTCCCTTAAATAGCCAGGCCTCAAGCTGTTGGCACTTTGAAGGTTAAAACCAACACCCCAAATTGGGCCTGGTAAGCAACTGGCCACCCAGTTGTAGGTCTTTCAATACTGGGATTTTATGCTCGCAATACCATACAGCTTAGTCTATTGTTTTCAAGGGCAGCCCCACATAAAGCACATTGCAGTAGTCAAGATGCAATGTAACTAAGGCATCTTATGACTGTTGCCCACTCAGGTTGACACAGCTGGGACATAAAACAGAGTTGGGCAAAGGCTATTCTTGTCAGTGCAGCCTCATGGAAAAGGGTGGGGGTGGGCAGTGCAGAAGGACAGGAACCACTGCAACGCAATATGATATCATGTTCAGGGATGTCAAAGTTGTCAAGAGATCCAGAAAAAGAGGTCCATGGATAACAGAGTCATGCAAACTCTATCAGTCCTTAGCATAATTCATGTACCAAGGCAGCCCAAGCAATCCCGGGCTTGTAGCCCAGCCAAAAGCCAAATGAAGTGTTGTAATATGGCATGCTGTTCCCCAGCAGCACCGCAGAGAGCTTGTGCTGGTCTTGCCAAGTTTCAGGGGCAACAATAGCAAACATCAGTGGCCACCAACAGTATAGCCTCTGATAAGTTTTGTAAACTCCTATGTGACCCCAACAATCCATGGAAGTGGCATACCACCAGTCTATGTCCTTGCAACACCAGTCTCAAATAACAGGGAATGGGGTGCTCTTAACTCTGTAAGAGTAGATGCACACAGACATTTTGACACATGGGAATTTCCCCAATGAATTCTCAAACACTGAGCCAGTCTTGCAAGTGCTGCTACCTAAATCTAGATGACGACGCATAACATCTTGGAAAACTTTACCTTTCTCTCTTTAAAAAAAGCGGAGATAGATTATGGGCTGGCAACCTGTGGCCCCCACCTGTTAGGGTGTTTGTATAATCAGGCTGATATATTGGAACTGCACAACAATGATATGTGCACCTGCCCTTTGCTTGCATCGATGAGGGCTACAACTGTATTGCACTTTATAAATTACATTATATCAATATATTTTTCTCCTAGTCCAGCTATAGCACTAAACTGATACACCACTGATTCAAATGCTTGTGACTTGTCAATTCAGTGCTATTTCACTTGTTAAACACTAAAAAAAGAGGGAAAAAGTGAACATTAGTGAAAGAGGCAGTAGGAGAGTGGTAAGGAAAGGGGGCTGTGTGACCTACGGCCACTTGAAATGCACTTTCCTGGGATAATTAAATGTTTCTGAGTGATCAGTGACAACAATCTAAGTGTTAGGATGTGATACACATCAATCCTAAACAGCCTCACGTGGAGTCATGGCCTTATTCTTTAAGTAACAAAAGACTCTTTGTTGGTTATGTTGCAAGATACTAACATGGCTATCCCCCCTCAAAAGATTTGAAATGTTCAAGTTGCACCTATAATTTGGCTGGCATATGTCAAGTATCTTCACATCTGTACCAATGTCTGTATGTTCTCCCCACCCACCACTTTGGAAATGCATAACTGATCACTCTGTCTTAGTTCCAGGCCCCTTCTGTTTCCCCCATACTCAACTGTTTTGAAATTATCCTCAAAGACTTCTCGGGCTTCTTCGTAGTTGCAAACTTCCTCGATGCACTCACGCTCCAGGTTGTCCGGGACGACTAACTCAAAATCCCAGTGATTATAAAGAAGTTTACGGCCCAGGAATCTGTGTGCAGTCAAGTCATCTAGGAACACTGAGAACAGGAAGCTGCCATTATTATCTTGACGTTTAGAAGAACAAGATCTTTGTGTTCTCATTGAAAGAAAGGAGGATTATAAAAGATTACCGTGTCAGATTGGGAGCAAGTGAAAACACACAAGCAGACCCTGAATTCTGTAACAGGAGATTCGAAGCAGAGCTTCAAAAAATAAGGTTTGAAGACTTTGACATTCCAAGTTTCTGGTTCGAACAAATTTGAATGGGTTGTATTGTTCTTGAGTTTCCCACAAAGAAAAGAG